GCGAACCCAGTAGCTGCAGGGTGACAGCCTCTTCAGAGCTTAATTCCAAGGCACAATGACAGACTGTTGCAAGGGAATGTGCAGGTGGGGATGAAGTGTCTGGCACAAAGACATTGTTGGGGAAAAGGGTGGAATGGGAACAGGGAGAGGACAGAGCCGGGGCAAGAAGAGGTGGGGTGGGTCGGGACCTGGGGTGGAGCGAGAGGATTGTTCCAGGCCTCACGTCCCTTTAGGAACAGCCCCGGTTGTCAGGCAGTGTGTTCCCAACCATCTTGGTATCAGACTGTGGGGAGGCTGAGCAGCCAGCCACAAGAGGAGAGCCAGAAGCAGAGGAGGAACTGGCGGCGTGTGAGCAGGCCACACCTGGGTCGCTGGGGAGGCTGAGCCCCCTGCCTCTGATACCCACCACCGATGTCATCTGTTCAAGTTTCCACCTTTCTTTGTTTTTAAGCTCACGGAATATTTTTCTGTTGAGCTAAGCTGATCACCTGCCTCATGTGCTGTTCTTTCTGCACATTGGGAGGGTTGGTTCCTGTGCCCTCAATAATTTTTCTTTAAATACAACCTGTTCTCCTGGACTCCTTTCCCCCTCATACTAGCATCCCGGATGATCCCGCTCATCAGTTCCCCGAGGGAGCCAGTCTGCTTTTCTGAAGTCCAGGGTCCGTATTCGGCTGCATTCCTGTCTTCCTTTTGTCTGGATCCTGAACTCAACCACCTTATGGTCCCTGCTACCCCGGTTCCCAATCCTTCCCTGTTTGTGAGCAGCAGGTCAAGAGGCCCACAGCCCTGGGTTGGTTTCTCCAGCACTTGCACCAGGATGTTGTTCCCAACACTCTCCAAACACTTCCTGGATTGTCAGTGTACTGCTGTATTGCTCTCCCGGCAAATGTCAGGGTGACTGAAGTTCCCCATGGGAAGCAGGGCCTGTGCTCTGGAAAATTCCATTAGTTGTCTGAAGAAAGCCCTGTCTACCTCATCCTCCTGGTCTGGAGGCCTATAGATGCCCACCATGACATCACCCCTGTTGCTCTCACTTCCAACCTTAATACAAAGACTATCCTCAGGCTTTTCTCCAGTTTCTTACTGGAGCTCTGAGCAATCACACAGCTCTCTTACCTACAGTGCAACTCCTCCACCTTTTCTCTCCCACCTGTCCTCCCTGAACAGCTTATACCCATCCATGATAGTGCTCCACTCATGGGAGTTACCCCACCTCGTCCTTGTTATTCCAATCACATCATAGCTCCTTGACTGTGCCGGCACTTCCAGTTCTTCCTGTTTGTTTCCCAGGTTTTTCACATCTTACCAGTGTAGCTGGCAGACAAGGGAGTGAAGGCAAAAATGCCAGGCAAGTTTTCAGCTGCTAAAGTGCTGTGAAAGCCATTCTGAGGCTGAGAGAAGTGATAATGTTTAGTGAATTCCTTTTGCCAGGTCCCCCTTAGCTCCACCAGAAATGTCCTCAGCGTGATTTCAAACCCTGCCAACAGCTACCTCCAAGCTGTGTGCTAGCAAACTCCTTGTGAGGGGAGAGCAAAGGTGGGCTCTGAGGAGGGTAGAAATGTGCTCTACCCTTCCTGTTCCCCAGGGGGACTCCCCTCCTGGCTCAGAACCACATAAGAGTTCAGCTTGTAGGGAGGTGTTGCTTGATGACTCCAGCTAAGCATGTGGGGTGAGTGTAACTCAGTGGTTCCCAAACTTTTCGGCATCATGCCCCCTTTTTGATTTTTGAGAAACCTGCACGCCTCCCCTCCCCCCCCTGCAAAAACTAGTTGAGCAAAAAATTTTAAAAATGATCTTTTAAGAGAAAAGCAGGCATTGCCCTTTTAAGGCAACCATTTCAAAGTCCGCCTGGGAAGCTCCATCCACCCCCAGCCACGGATCAAGCTCTTTCTTGGGGTTGGGATTGATGGGGGGAGGGTTGCCT